AGGGAAGGAGACTTCAGCCTCTGCTTTTTAACTGCTGTGGACACTTGTTCTGGAAGCTTTTCATTTCTATGAAATCATGTTTGAGATGTAGTCACTGTTGCTGGGGAAATAAACATGATGGCACATGAAGAAAAAAATGCTCTCAAGTGGGGAGTAGGCAAGAGGAGCAGATGAGCTCTTTGGAAACAAAGGACTCTCTCGCTCTCCAAGTGTCGTCTCTAACAAAACAAAATAAGCAGTAAAGTGACTGAAAACATCTTAGAAAAATTGACTGTGCTTAGTTACAATATATAATAGGACATCAGTGAGTCTTTATCTAAATTACACAATCTGAGGCATTTCACCCATTGAGCGTCTCTAGGCTTCTTAAATGGTGGGGTTTTTCTTATCTTCCTCCCATTACAACTGAAAATGTGTGTCTAAATCCTTGTGTATCTATGCTCCATTATTGACTTACAAATACTACATTGCTTCCCAGTGTTCTTACTTAATCTCCTGTGGTTAGGGAACACTAAAACACAAAGATTATTGTGCGCTTGATATTACAGATAATATCTTTGTCTTTGAGGCTCTCGACTCTCCTGGGACCTCCCCCTCAGGAAAATTCAACTGCTGCCACCGCTTTGCGACTCAAAACCAAAAAGCACTTTTCTTCTGTGCTCTGACCTTCGCTGCAAACATTGTGAAGCGCTGAAGGGAAGAAACAAAAGATCAGGAATCCTTCGGTGCAGTACATGCTCTTAACCTCCACTGCTGGAAACAAGGCCCACTTTAATCTGAGTGGGACAAACACAAAACCAGCTCTCATCATGAGACCTTGGGACAACAATTCCTGCAGATGTGCAGTAATGACATTCTCAGCGTGGCAGATCTCTATCGAAAACTCAGCCCATTAGTAGGAAAAGGAATGTCTGCACAAACATTCATGTCTTTACATTCCTGAGCTCTACTGCAGCCTTGCCTTCATGTCATAGGCCCCCCAAAAAATGTTTCATCTCCCCTGAGGGGCAGGGCACAACTGCAGGTAAAAAATAAGGAACTCTAGACAGCAAGAAAAAGAGAACAGAAGAAAAAAAACTTTGATCCATTTGGATAGATAGATAGATAGTCATTGTAGGTCCCTTCCAACTGAAATTATTCTATTCCTATTCTATTCTGTTCTATTTTATTCTATTCTATATTAGTGCAGGAAGTGAGAACACAGAGCAATACAAGTTAAGAACTATTTGGAAGTAGCTTGTTCCACTGAAAAAGTTGCTTTTTAAGAGCTCAGTTCAGCCAGGGCAATAATCCCCCTGAACCTCAAAGCCCCGTCTTCCAGCTGCAGTGATGTTTCTTTCCATCCCTTTTACTGTGGGACCAAACAACCAAGCACAAGGATGTTGCTGAACAAAACTGGATTTGCTATCAGCTCTTTTGCATGCAGCAAAGAAAAAAAGTGACCAGCTGGAAGGTTAGAAGAGAAAAAAGCGGCTTGTGTTGTAACTAAAGAAGAATTTGGACCACGTGGTGGAGTTCTATTTACACATTTCTGACATAACTGACAGTGATAGCATCAAATAGAAATGGCAATTCAGACATTCAACAGCACCTTCAGTGATCACAGCCCCTCCAGGAAGGCAGATGGAGAGCCTGAGGAGAGTTCAGCCTGCTTTTCAAGAGTGCAAGGTTTCAAGGTGCAAAGCACACTGCAGATACATGTCTGGGGAAGCAAACCAGCTACTGCATCCCCTCGGCCACACCACATACTCTGGACATACATGCACAATGTGGTTTTATCCCAACAAAGGAGCATTTGTGTGTTCACTGTTCACCCCCGCAGTCATATCTGCTTTGGTCAAAAGGGATTTTGGCAAAAATGAGGGGTTTTTACACAGAGTTTCATTTTTTCTCCTTGCCCTGTCTTTTCTTGAGTTTTGCTCCTCACTCCTACATCAGATGGTGAGAGCCTTCATAGTACAGCAGGTATAATTGGTCTTCCATGAGCAATTTTTAGGGCCATGTGTACTGTCCTTCTCATGTCCACGTCAGAAAGCAGGACTGACATGCATCAAGCATTTGGGTAAGAATGAGTAAAGCAGTGACACACAGAGGAAGAAGAAGAGCTCCCTTGCTGTCTCTTATCTGCCCCAAGTACAAGGTCACTGTGTGAACTGTAGGTCTCCTGCATGTAACCCAGCTCCACAGCCTCCCTGCTACCCCCTGGTCCTACAAACACTGCTGATAAGTGGCTTAAAGGATCCACTGGCCAACTGCCCCAGCACACACCATGTGGGACAGAGGCCACAAACCTGATGCTGAAAATACCTGAAATGGGCTTATGACTGAGGCATCATGAGGGGAAGACCCATGGGTCACATCACAGCCAAGAGCAAGGTGTTCTGCCTAACTGCCTTCTGCATGGCCAGCCCTGACAGGGCTGCCCCAGAGTGCAAAGGGAGCAGACAAAAGCAAAGAAGAAGAAAAATGCGCTCAAGCAGGAAACATTTGAGTTCCCTGTTATTCTTCACACATCAAAGTAGAAAAACTTGCAGAGAATGGAAAAAAGGCTAAAGCAAGAACAGCAGCAGCAGGCAAAAGCAATTACTATTTCCTAAACAACAAACAGCTCTTTCAAAATCGGGTTTATACCCTTCAGAGGAAGATTGCAGGGGACACATCCATTTTGCCTATTATGTAGATTTGTAAAGCTAAGTACATGCTCACCTGAGTATTGCATAAGATACCAATTAGGAACATTTATTTTGGGTAAAAGAAAAACCGATGAGCCACTCTGGTTAACTGCCATCTCTCAGAGAGGCAGTCTTTTTCCATTTGTCTCCTCTTCCACTAAAAACAGAGGAGTGTTTTACGCCAAACAGTAAAACCTCAGGTCCCATTTTCCAATTTGGAGTCTCAGAGATGCACAGCCCTATGTTCTTACCCTGTAACTATCCTCCAGTCTCCTGTAATCACACTCAGTGGTCTAAGCTCAGCTCTCATCAGCTTGCAGCAGCCCTTTGCAAAACACTTCATCATGATTTTTACATCAGCTATCCCCTTCTCCCTGCTCCTTAATTTTCCCTGCCAGATTTTCTCTGGATGGTGAAGCTGAGTGGCTCTGCCTGAAATCAAAACTGACTCTGGCCCCTAATGCCTATAGGAGACAGCACTTCTGACCCACAAAGGGAAACAAACTTTTCCACCAAATTCTCCCCATTGGCTGATAATATTTAATTTAACTCCACTGTTTCAGTGCTCATCTCTAGAGCTGATGTGTTTCGCTAAGGGAAAAGGAATCCTTCCCCTCTGAGGGCTTGGTTGGGTGTGCCCATTGATCTGAACTACTGCAAGATATTGAACTTGTATTGATTTCAACTTTAGGCTGTATCTCTCTGGATGTTTACATGATGACACACTCAAAATCTGTGGAAAAACGCTCAAATATCACCTTTACTAACCTGGTGCCAAGTACAAGATTCAAGCATTGGAACAGGCTTCCCAGGGAAGTGGTTGAAGCACCATCCCTGGAGTTATTTAAAAGGTGTGTAGATGTGGCACTTGGAGACATGGTTTAGTGGTGGACTTGGCAGTGCTGGGTTAATGACTGGACTTGATTGACTTAGAGGTCTTTTCCAACCTAATAGATGCCATGTTTCTACGATTCAATGTCAAAATTGAGGCACTTAAATTGCGGAGACAAGGGTGCTGGGGTCCCGAGAGGAAGGTGCATGGTCCCTTGGCTGGACAGAGAGGGTCCCCCCACCGGGGACGGGGCGCACCCGCACGCACCGGGGCACAGCAGGGCTCTCAGACGGTTCTGGCTGGGGCGGGAGGGCAGAGCTCGCCTCCAGGGCGCCCAGGGGCCACAGGAGGAAGGGGCACATTGAGGGGGGTTCAGGACCTCTCTGCGGCGAGAGGAGCGGCGAGGGGGATGTTGGCTCCGGGGAGGGCTCTTCCTCCGGGGATGCTCTGCCAGGGCGATACCAGGAGAGAGGACCGGCGCTGCCGCGGTGACATCCCCGGCAGAACGCGGGGCGGGGGCGGCGCAGCGGGACCCCCCGGCCGGGTGGGAAGAAACTTCCCCAGCGGGGCCGGTCCGGACCCCCCGCTCCGCCCGCGCCCCGCCCCGGAACGGGGCGAGGCTGCTGCGGGCGGGCAGAGCCCGAAGGCTGCGGGCGCCGGCGGAGGGTCCTTGCCCGCCGCAGGGTCGGTGCCCGCCGCAGGAAAGCGCCGCGGTAAGGCCGAGCTCCGCGATCGTGGGGTCCTCTCAGCCGGGACAAGTTGGGCTGAACCCCCCTCCCGGGGCTGCAGCCCGCCTGAGCATCTCCCCCTCCCTCCGCTGGCGTCCCCCCGGTCCCAGCCCCGGTGACCGGGGAGGAAGGAGCTCGGCGGGCCGGAGCTCGGCAGGCGGCTTGGAAGCTGCAGAGAGGGATGGCTGAGCGCAGGGGGGGGTGGAGGCGCGACAGGAGCAGGGAGGTGTAGGTAGGACCCGGTCTGGGCTGCAGGTGTGGCCGCAGGGCGCATCGCTGGGACGTGGTCCCCGCTGGGACGTGGGAGAGGTAGGAGCCAGTCCGGGTTGCAGATGCAACAGAGCGGTGGATAGGTGGGACCTGGACCAGAATGCAGGTGCGACGGTAGAGCATACAGGTGGGAGCTGGTCCGGATTGCAGCTGCAAACATACCGTGTACGGGCTGGATGTGGTTTGGATCGCAGGTGGTGGATGTGGTTTGGATCGCAGGTGCAGCTACACCGTGTCTAGGTATGACGTGGTCCAGATTGCACGTGTAGGTGCAACGTGGTGCGGGTTGCAGGTGTGATGTGCAGGTGGGATGTGGTCCTGCTGTGCCGGGGGGTGACTGAGCATCTCCTAGCATAGAGTGTATGGCTGCTGTGCCTGTGTCCGGGCTGGGCAACTTTCAGGCTTTTATTTTGAAATATTCTCTTATCCAGTGGTTTTCGGACGTCTCCCAAGTCCTGCCCACTTTTCCCACATACTTCTCTCCAGCCTCATCCTCCCTTTTGCTCAATAACTCTGCAATGATGAAATGGCTTCTTGCAACATCAGCACGCAGAGCTGAATTCCAGAGCTCGGGGGCGGGGAAGGAGTGCTCAGACACACTGATCTTAGGAGGAATACCCCAGAACTGTGTTCGTGGTCATCCCTCCCAGTACCAGATCGACACTGTGAAATGTACATTGCTTTTCTCGGATTTCTGAAGAATTTCTCAGGGTAAACACAGTGGGAAACGACCTGAGGCTCCCTGGTAAATTGCAAGGAAACTTCTGGCCTAAGTCAGTTGAAAAGAAAAGTTGGAGTCAGCAGAGTTACGGTAAGGTTGCCATCGTCCTACTGAACTTGCTCAGAATTTGGGCTGTCTGGCCACTAATCTCATTTCTCTGCCATCCACTTAAACTTGTTTTTCTGCTACACAGAGGCTGCCAAAACTGGGGGGGTGGGCAGGAGGGGATCATAGGAACCTATGAGAATATGTGATTTTTTTTTTTTGTCCTATTATAAGTTAATAATCCCATTTCTAGGCTGTCATCCAAGAATATTGCTCAAAAAATGCAAGCAGTGTACAAGACCCATTGTATAAAAGATAATCTAAATGTAGGACAGGAAGGGACCTGGCAGGTCAGCAAATCTAAACACAGAATGATATTATGCCTTATTGCACACCACTGTAATTCATTTGTCCCTGGTCTCCTGGGAAGGGGAAGTTTCACTACTGAACTGACACCGTAATTTTTTCTCCAATATATGGTTTTCTCTTACTTTGTATTTGCACTGTGACTGCTTAGTTCTCCCAGTATAGATGCTTTTCTCTCTTATCAATATAGAAATAGGAGTTGAATGCTTTTCATTGTGTCATGCCATGCAAGATAGAACTTGCTGTCTGCTTTCATGAAGCGGGCTCCAGCTTATGCTGCTCCCTGGCAGTCATGAGCTGGCCTTCTTATTCTCTGACTTCCCTGTGGATGAGCAGAGCTACCAGGCTCAGAGGTCTGTCCTGTGCCTCTTGTGTTTTGACATCTCACCTGGAAATAAATCCCTCAGCTGGTAGGTACTGCAATTAACCTCCTCCTCAGGTTCCTCCTGTCCTGTGATGGGGGTGGGAAACTGTGATTTTCTTCCTCAGATGTCCATCTGACTTGTTTTCTGCTGTCAGCTCTCATCTTACTCCAGGCCTCTTATTAATCCTTTTTTTATTGCATATCCCCATGTTCTGTGCTGGTACAGTATTCCCCCAGCTTTCTCCCACTTGCTCCGTCATGAAGGGAGAACTTAAGTTTGTAGTGACCCCTGCCAAATTCAGACTGACTCTTCCATTTGATTGTCTGTCCAATCCTTTTAGGTCTGTACCCTATTTATTACGATTTGTCATCTTTTGTTTGTTAAGTCCTGATTTTGCTGAGCTGCTCAGCAAGTTGGCTGTATGTACTTCAGATGAGTTTGAAGCTGAATTTTGCCCCTGTCTTGTGTGCCGGGTACACTGGGTACGTTTCCCAATTTTCTACTAGCTGAGTAGAAAATTTTTCTTACCAAAGCAAGCTAAGTTGCATCTTGTCCTCCTTTCCCCCTGTTTACTTCCATGGCATCAGTTATTAGGGTGTTTTTTTTCTGCAACAATTATTCTGTTGATGAGGGATGTTTAATCCCACCATTGTGCTGTAACCAGCCGTGAGTAGAAGACGGGTGTAATTCAGCAGTGGGTATCAACACAGTGCTGTAGACTGGGCAGTGAACAATATTCATAGAGCTGAAACAGCTGCAGGAACTTCAGACAAACTCAGTGCTAATATCTGAGCTCAGATTTAGCTCCCAGTCGAATATCCTCGCTCTTAATATTTGCAGTAGGGTCTATCAATAGTGATTCAGAGGAAGTACCACCCACTGAATCAACAAAGTCAGCTCACAAGGTACTGAACAAATCCAGCTCTGCTCGGTCCAAAATACCACAGCCAGTATGTGCAGATAAACACTTCACAAGGAGTTATCCCTGTTCTGTTCATTAACATTGGACATGGCTTTTTATATAATCAGATGAAAAAAACCCAAATATTTTGCAGAAGCTAGATGCAGTTCTGCAGCATGATGCTCCTCGTGTTCAGTGCATGACTACCTGCTTCTGACCTAATATATTATAAGCCCTTTGGTGTTATCCACCAAACTCAAGTTTATTCCAGTGTTTCTCAGCACTGCATGTGCAGCAGTTTATCACACAGTGCTCATGAGTGTGCTGCTGCAGAGCCTGCTTTCATTTCCCAGTGGCCAGAAAAAGCACTGAGAGCACCAAGTGCTGCAACAGAGCAGGCAAACAATCTGTATTTTAATTATACAGAGACCTCTTGGGTTCTGTGCTGTCAACTGAAGTGCTAAGAACAAATTGGGGGAAGGAAAAAAGCCGTGTCAAATTTTGAGCTTTGACTTTCTCCTTCTAATGAAGGCCAGCATCGTACTTGTAGGTCTGGTGTGGGGTTTGTCACAGCATCCCAGTTGTCCCAGTTCTGCAGGCATGCTTTAAGAACTGGAGCAAAGCACAAAACGGGAATGCTTCGAAAAAGGGTTCTCTGCATTTGGGCAACTTCTCTGTGCCTCTCAAGATTCTTGTCAAGGGCAAGTATCATCTTTTTTTCCTAGGAAAAAAAATTACTAGTGAGCAACAGCCAAGCCTTATAATTGCTACCAGATAACGTCAGCGGTAGATGAGCTGGTTTAGTGGAACTGAATGTGGAAACAAATAGGGGTGTGGGGTTCATACATGAGCCCCTGAGTCATAGCCTGGCATCTACAGGAGTGCCCGCAGTTAAGTAAGTGGTTGTGTGATGTGGCAGGTGAACATTTGTTGCTGTTTTGCCAGCCAGCCTCTCACATCTGCAGAAATCATCAGGAGAGCGTCTAACAGCATGGTGGTTTTTCTGTTTGATATAACGAACACATATTGTTCCCAGATTCAGCTGTTTCTACTGGTTTGATACCTGAGCTGACATTTCAAAGCCCTGGGAATGCTGAAGCCACAGATCAATGAGAATCTTAAGCAAGCAATAGTGTTTGCAAAACCTCTTTAGCATTTGATGGTGTATTTCAAGGTGCTCCAAAAAAAGAGTAAGCCAGATAAAGGACATCAGGCAAAGCCAGAAAGGAGGACTGAGAGCTGGTGGATGAAGTCCTCATCCCAGCGTTGGAGTCACTCAGCTGATTCCAAAATGTTTAACTACCCTAAAAGAAACAGGTCACTTCAGAAGGGATGTTGCTCCAGCACTATGTCCAGGAAAACAAGTACAGGCAAATGAAGAACTGCCAGATGCTGTAGCTGGTAAGGCAGGATGTTGAATTTGGCAAGGTTGTAGTGGGAATCACCAGGTCCTGCTACTTGGCATTGACTTCCCATTTGTTTTTCTTACCACAGCCATTATTTTGCCTCAGCTGAGGTGTAAATGGTATTAATTTGGGGGAATGTCTGAGGGCAGAGGAGGGATTTGCTCTTTGCATTGCTGCTCCATTAGGGTCTGTTGAGCAGGTGTCCTCAGTCACCCCTTGGTGCTGAGAGGAATTGCCCAAAAGGGACACAAAGGAAATTTCAGTTGATGGTTTGCGTAGCTGCTCTCAGAGTACCCACAGGTTCAGTAATACTGATTTCACCCCAAATCCAACTTGCAAAGCCTTCTGTTGCCTCTGCTGCTCCCAAGCTGTGGTTAACGCCAACATAGGACATCACTAGTGGCAGCTGGCCACCTTGGGACTAAGTGGGTCTCCACTTTTCCAGCTGGGAGAGCTGAGTCACATTTTAACAAGCGAGGACAGCACAGGAATTTGGAGATCACTCCAGGAAAGTGTGGGAAAGGAGTCACCCTGCAGCCATAAAACCTCTATATTTAGTTGTACTTTAAAATGGATTTTGCGGTTGCAGAGGTCAAATGAGTTTGGAGACCCGCAGATCTGTTTTGCACGGAGCCTCTGCATGGGGAGTCATGGCCACCTGTCCCCCCACTGTGTTCCCCAGAGGTAGGGACATCCAGCCTTGTCCCTGTCCCAGGGACTGCACGGTGAGCTCATCTCTTGCTGGAGGCACAGCCTCTCCCCAGTGTACCTTGGTAAGCAGAGGAGATGAAGGGAGAGAAGCAGCAGAGCCCCTTTCCTCTCTCCAGATCAATGAATGAGGTTGGCATCATCTTTCTTTCTTTATTTATAACTTTGGTGAGCATCTCTGCTTGTGTCAATGTAGCTAAGGAATAACTTTGTTACCCTCCGCTCTGTCGGTTAAATTGCATTATTTTTAATGAGGCAGCTATCTCCATGCTGCTTCTGTTCTGCTGGTTTCCCCTATCTGGGAAGTGTCTGCTCCTCGTCCATCCTGCTTTTCTGTTAAGTCATTGCCCAGCATTCTCTGGAAGCAGTGAGCTAAGTGTTAGCTTTATTTTCTGACAGAGGCCCCAAGTGGAAACAAAAGTTCCCATTGTACAAGGCAGCAGGTTTTTGTGGGTGATGCTTTTCTTCCCACACCCTGCCGAGAAGTCAAATTGTGGCAAATCAACTCATTCCACTGTCTGGCCGAGATCAAGGTACTTCACCTAAATAAAAGGATGATCCCTGCTGCCAAAGGATTTACTCCAAGGAGTGGGTGCAGCCCCTTACGGGCTGGGGGTGCAACCCAGAGGGATGCAGGAGGAGAGGCAAAGCCACACAACCCTCCCTGGACCATTCCTTGTGCACTGGCCCGTTTCTTCCATCAACACTGCAGTGCCCAGCTCCGAGATCTTTCCCTCTGTCCCAGCGGGTCCCTTGGGGGCCCCAAGTGGCACCAGGGGGTTTTGGGGTCCAGCTTTGGGGTTTTGCCCCCCTCGCTGCCCACAGCTGTGGACTCTGGGCAGCCGCCTCCGCTGCATCATCTGTGTGAGTAAGCCTCCCTCCCGCCCCAGAAACAGCCACAATCTTCTCCTTTGTGTGCTTCTAGCTCAGAAAAGGCTGATTCATTCTCTGAAGCAGATTAATTACTTCTGCTATTTTAAAAAAAAAAAAGAGATAAATCCTTTAGAATTGGTCAGCTTAACTTTCAACTGTGTGCACAATACAGTAAAGCAAGTGTGCTCCGAGCCAGAGCATGAAAGTTCGCAAGGAATAAGAAACTGGGTGTTGCAGTATTTACCTGGTATGTCAGCAGTGGGCTCTGCAATTTAGGAAGTATTTGTGAATGTGTCTTCTTCTTGACTGATATGACAAACAGTGCAACTCTGAGCCCACCGTGAAGGTGAACTGGGGAACAAATATTTTTATTCCCTGATACATTTTATAGCTTGTTTCCCTTCTGGTTTACATCACGCTGATGTG